GGCGAAGCGTAAACCCAAGGGTCAGGCGAGGTGGAGCCCGCGACCTCGGGGACGGGCGAGGCGGAGCCCGCAGCCTCAGGGTCGGGCGAGCGGAGCCCGCATCCAGAGGCCGGGCGAGGCGGAGCGCAAACCCGAGGGTCGGGCGAGACGGAGCCCGCGACCTCGGGGTCGGGCAAGCGGAGCGCAAACCCGAGGGTCGATGGAGGCGGAGCCCGTGGCCTCGGGGTCGGGCGAGCGGAGCGCAAACCCGAGGGTCGGGCGAGGCGGAGCCCGCGGCCTTAGGGTCGGGCGAGGCGGAGTCCTCCCCCAGAGGCTCCCTAGAGGTCGGTCGAGGCGGAGCCCGCGCACCTGGGGTCAGTTGGAGCCGTAGTCACGCCCTTGACTGTTCGAATGGATTAATGTTGATGACTATTAGCCCCTCCTCTTCGGGTACCTTAGTATTGGTCTCCGACAACTGCACCCATATTAATCATCATGTTCTTATTTATACAGGTTGTATGTTTCCTGCTTATTATTAATTCCCCATCATTCGTGCACATCTTTAGTTAAAGTTCATTTGGAGGTGATAATATAGTTAACTCTCATCTTTTGTGTGTGTTCCATCGTGAGAAGATTATCCACAAGGTTTGGAAAGACGACAATAAGTACTCATACGTTCAAATTATAATACGTTTTTATTTTTCTAGATACATTACTATTACCTGTCCCCAAGGTTACATGTGTGGCTATATGCCCAAGCTTCCACGTTCGCAAGTAGCCTACACATCAGTTCGGATAGTGGTTCCGCAGGGCGCCAATGTTGCCTGCAGAAGATGCAGTAGTTTGTTCTGACAAAAGAGAGAAGCTACCACCAGAGCACGCATTGAAAATCAAATGTTGAAGGTCTGCCGCTCCTTTTATCAGGGCCAAGAGTTATTGAAAAAAGGAATAGTGGGGCCACTATTTAATAGGCAGTAACAGCCTGTGTTGCGAACTTGAAATCTCTAAACTTTTTATATCTATATAAATGCATGTTGGTCTACGTTGACCCTACCCGTACTAGGTACCTAGACATGTTGTATATCTAAATGTATAAAAAAATATGTATCTTGAAAAGACAAAACGTCTTATAATTTAAAACAGAGCGAGCAGAGTAATAAGCAACTTCGGTTTTCTTCACTCTCTCTAGCAACGAGTTGCTTCCTTTGAACCGAAGCAACGCCCAACTCCAACAAAATACGCGGAGCAGCCCATCGATCTCCAATCTGATCGATCGTGCGCTAGTGGCGTCGTGTTCGTCGCGTGTCCCCACACACACGTATATGTGTGCTGATTAAAGTAAGCGCAGATAGGGATGATGTCGAGGTTAACCTGGGCAAAGAGTAGAATAGTGGGGCGCTCATCGATTAAAGCTGTGATTATTGGCCGTTGATTCCGTGGGTGGTCCCGCGCCTGCACGGCCGTCGGCCGTCCGTCCCGTCGGCCGTCGCCAACCAGCGTGCGATACGCCTTCGGATTCGGCAACGCGCGCGCTGTTCAAATTCGGCAACCAACTTTCCACAGTGGCCCTTGAGCTGCCTTTGGTGGGCCCCGCAGAGTAGCAGGCTGAAATCCGTGCCCCGCTTACGAGTTGCTATTGGCTTATACCAGCTTCGCGCCGCACAATTGAGAAGGCCTGATGTGGACTGGCCAAAGTAGCGCACGTCCAGCGTCGTAGGCCCATTTGCTTTTCCCCCTCCCTATTTCCATCCGTTGCTCTTGCTCCCCGAGTTGTTAAAGCAAAAATCGACTATGCTATGCTTTTATTCCCAATACAGAAGTTAGTCTGACTTTGAATTAAGTCTAGAGTTGTATCTTCTATTTTCTGATAGAGGTAACATAAACTAGTACAGAAACGGTTTTTATCTATACTAGAGATTTTTTTTCACCGGTGGTTCGTAAAAAATATGCGCTAGTAGAACTGGAACTATGGACGCATGGCTATAAATTAACAGTGAAGATACATCTCTACTAGCAGATTTCCTAAGGTTACAAGCTATGCCTACCGTCAATGTAAATCAACTAGCAGTTTAAGTCTAGGATTTGTACTGACAGTAACTTTAAAGAAACATAAAGGGATCTCTTTATTTTGGAGAATTAAAATCTACATAATAGATTAGGCTATTTGACTTAGAATTTGATATTCCATAACTTTAAGCTTACAAATAAGCCTATCTCAAATTCATAGGGTGGGAGATGGAAATTGATGCTATAGATCACTATATTATAATTCTATTCTATTCTCCAAATTATAGCATATTCTTCAACTCACTTTCCTACGATAGAAATGCAATATATAAATATGCCCCTTGTATGCGTAACAATAAATATACAAATATATTCCATATACAACTATATTAGCTTAATTAATCTATGTCTAAATTATAATTATTAGAATGAATTCAATTTCAAGAATCAAACATGCCGTAAGTGTAAAAACCATGTGTATTAGTGATATCATATAGTAGTATTTTTGGTCCACGGTCCATGACCTAAATAAAGCTCGTTAGATGTAGATAGGCAGCTGGCCAAGGCCTAAGGTTTGCCGACACCTCGGTGATGAAGTGCTTCACTCTTTCAGTCTTTCCTCAAAAGAAAACGAAGTGCTTCACTGTTTTGCAGTACCATTTGCTGATCTGTCGAATATCTGGGGGTTCTATTTCTGTACATGACATATGCCAATTGCTCTATTGGGCGTTTTAGTTTTGGACCCTTTTGTACCACTTATGCATGGTTGCTTTTTATATTAGCCTTCTTCATCCTCCTGGTTTCCTTTATGCCCCTTCTCATGCAAGTTGCCGTTCTTTGATCGCGAACTCTTCTAGCTTTCTCCTGCACTAATGTTCTGCCTCTGTCAGTATCACGAGTGTTCTGTTGAGTGGAAAATGACCTCCTTGAGAAGCTTAATTATCACCGTGAATATACTAGTTCATTTATCATTTATGGTTAGTTGAAGTTCCTGTTCCAATTTCTTCTTCTCCTATGTGTCCATCTGAACTTCTCTGATCTAGTGATCTTCCTCCAGAACTCGGAGCTCCTGAGTGAGAGGGCTGCTCCTCAGCCTTCTTGCTGAGGGATACTTTGGACTCGTGATGTGCCTTTCCTCGACAAATCTTTGGCTCTATCTGCCTCTCCAGATCATCTCTCTGTTGACACTTCTTACGGAGCTCGGTTTTCAAATAAATCACACATTGCTCTTTGGGCCTCCAATCTGGCCAATGATTGTGCTGGTTGCAGAGCCTAAGTTGTTCCTTAATCTTTATTCACAACACACCCTGCATTTAGGGTAAAAATAGATGCTTTGCGTCTTTAAACAGAACACATGAAAATGTTCTTTTAGTTAAGGAATCACGCTTACTGCATGGTGCGTAGCGTCTCTTATCTACTAGTTTTTCGGGCGCGCCTATGCGCGCGGTCCACTGGCCACACGTATTTTTTGGAGAAAAAAAAGATATAATCAAAGTTGGGCTGTATTTTGATTTGAGAAAATTCTGAGAATGTTTTCGCAAAAAACGGTGAGAGTGTCTGGGGAGCGCGAGTTGATTTTCGATAAAGTGGAGGTCTTTTTTGCAAACAAACCAGTGCCCATCCGGTCTGGACTGAGCGTTGATTTGGAAATAATACGAGGCGTTTTTTTTAAAAAATTCTGAGAGTACGTCTGGAGCGCGGGTTGATTTTCGAAAACTTAAAAGGGTTTTTCGTAAAACGACCGCGGCTCGCCCGATCTGAGCCGGCCGCGCGGCCGATCGAACGGCCGCGAAAAGCCGACGACGTGGCCACCCTGAGGCCGCGCCGTGGCCACACCAAATCATATCTTTAGATCACTGAGCTGAAGAAGCCTATGTATTGCGTGGTTGTCCCATGACGCGGCCCAGAATGGAGTGTAGGTAAGACGATAAAGTTTTTTTTGTTTATTTTTGTGACTTGCTTAAGACGATAAAGGTTAGGAGCAAAGTTAAGCACCTATATTATGTCCTAGTAAAATTGAAAGGCAGACACCGCTTGACAGTGGATGGGCCAGTGTGCAAAAAAGATATAACATAGGCGCAGCTTTGACCCTGGATGGGCCAGTGTGAAAAAAAAAAGATATAACATGAAGATATCTAGGCTAAGTAAGATCTAGGTTCTAGAGGATATTAAGACCAGAAAAAGATCTAGAGATAGGAACATCTTAGAGGGTGAACCGAATAATGCTTTTTTCAAGCTATAGCAAAAGCAAACCATATATAGAAGTAGAAAGAAGAATATAGATTTTTTGGAGGGTCCTAGTGGTCAGGTGCATGATCAAACTGATATGATGAGATTAGTCATAAATCTCTTTGCTGCAGAGAAGACTGAAGGTTTAGCCTTGAGTCAAAGTTTCTGGGATATTAATGATCTAGTGACAGAAAATGAGAATGAGGCTTTGACTGCACCTTTCTTCTCAGGGAATAAAGGCATAAAGCTTGTATTTTCGGTTGTTATACTGTTGGAGATTGGGAGCGGGAGACATGCGTGTGGGGGCACTACGGTTGTTATGCTGTGGCCTGTGAGAGATTGGGAGTGGGAGACATGCGTGTGGGGGCTATAGGGCGTGGGATCTGTTGAGCAACAGGAGAATTTTACCACGATTAAAGGTCTTTGATAGATGAGAGATTATCCATATTGTTGTACTAGCATCACATCGACAATTTGACATTTAGCAGCACACTTGAACAATCAATCATGTTTTAGTTCTGAAACTCTGAAGTCGCCTCTTACAAACGGCACTGCAACGTAGCAAGCTACACCAGACAAGGGACAACACAATCTGGATGCAGGTACTTAGTAGTAATAAACAACTAACTCCTATCGTCCCACCATGCACAATGCACTTATTATCACTCAATAACTATAATAACAACACCGCTATCTGAACCTTCAGTGTCTCAAACACAAACACAGGGACACCAAAGCTGAGTCCAGACAGGAGAGAAGCCATGGCGCTACCTGTGGTCTGCACTCTATGTGGTGAGGATGGGCGGGAGGTAATCCGACTTGTTGCCGAGGACGCGGGCACGGGTGTCAGGGAAGTTCTCCATCCCTGGCAGCTCAGTAACAGTGCCGTCACCAGTGACACCGATCGGGTAGCTGAGGAGGTGGCCTGGGAGATCCTGCTCCAGGTCATCGCTCGAGTACAGATCCCAATACTTCTCGGCAATCCTATTCACCTTCTGCACACACTCCACGCTCTCGGGGCGCTGGAAGACATCATCCAGCATTCCCAGGTGCTCGTACCACAGAGACATCCGAAAGCCGTGGATCTGGCCACGGGCAGGCTGCCTGGTCGCCAGGTGGTATGGCTGGTACGCGCCCATGGCGATTTCAGAGTCCCTGGCACCGTCCATGGACCTCTGGTTGATGTTGGCAGACCCAATGATGATGTACTCGTCATCCACTGAAATCAAACAAAAAATGTTCCATCTTCATCAACAAATGGACGCCTTTCAGGCCAAGCAAGAGAGAAATTCAAGCAGGAATTCGGCTGTTCAACATTTTGCTACCAAGAGTAATTAACTGTATACCTTGAATTATTTTTACTCAATCGAAAAGAATGTTAATTCCTTTTAAAAAGTGAATTATATAGGACAGTTCTTCCCCATAAAATTTGTTGCTTTATATTGATGTCTTTCCTGTCCAGCATAGTTATGCTTTTAACTAAGAAAACATGTTGCTCCAAACATATGCACATCAGAAGAGTAAGTTTCACAACATCAACCATGCTCCTAAATTTTGATAAATAAAAGATATGTGGTCTATTAGAAAAACTACTGCCATATATAGTGTAATGCATGGCTATATAGAGGTTACTATCATGAACAGAAAATCTGACACCTCTGAAGCCAAGAAAAGAAAACAATGTAAGCAGGGTGCCCAATGCTTTGCTATCAAGAGAAACCAACTATACCCCTTGGTTTCATTCCAAAAGAGCATCAAATCTTTGAACAAAGCAGCATTATAATAGCATAGGACAATTTCTTCCTGATATACTTTATTTATGCGTTAAGTTGATTCTACTGCTCTCTAAAATAGTTATAATTCTAACTTAAAGTGATCCCTTCCCTTGCTTCAAATACAGGTAAAGCAGAAATGCATGCTTTGTAGCTAAAGAAAATATGCTCTAGGTGTGACCGTATAAAATATATGTTCCATATCAGTTAACCTAACCGCGTTAAAAAAATTCAGTAAACTTAAAAATGAAATATAGTGCAATACGAGGGCAAAGCACAACTGATTCATTACCTATCATCATTTTGGTATGAACATAGATCATAAACCTCCTAGCCTCTTGAGCCCGGATGTAATCAGTGTCAGGTTCTGGGTGTTCCTCGGGTTCATATTCTCCCTCCTGCTTCACCTCGCGGTTACCTAAGCAGAAGAAAGTCAGATATTCCTTGGGGTTTGCTTCGATTCCCTTGGCTTGGAGAGCTTGTGTGATGTCAGTGTACATCATCTCCATTGTTCTCCTTTGCCAGTCAAGGATTGCCTGAACAGAAGCACTTTCTGGAACACCCTCAGGCCACATTGGCACCACAACATAAACAGTAAACCGTTCCCCAGCTTCAATCTTGCTGACAATCTTCAATGAGAGCTCCTTCGGAATCAAGTGAAGAGCACCAATTTCTTCTGGCTTGATGCCTTCGGGCTTCCAGCCATATGAACTTCCAAGGAAGTACTGATTCTCAATGTAGATGAAATTCTTCGCCCTCCGGATGGCATTTATGTATGCATCCTGGATACTCCGGTCGATGATTTGATCCTTTCCACTCACAAGCCCAGCTCTTGCAGCTTCCTCAGGAGTCTCAGGGAAGCCAAAAGCAGCACCACCATCAATGGATCTGAAGAGCTGAACATTCCATGTTTCTTTGTCCTCCGGGAACATCACAGGAGAAGGGGGAATAATAATGTCAGAAAGATCCCTGAGACGTACAAGGAGGTCCTTACCACCCTGCTTCCTCCATCTCTGCTCAAAGTTGTAAAGAACATCCCAAGCAATTGGCCCTTCCAGCCGTGAATGAATATCATGCCATGGCTCTCTTGGACCACCTTTCTTGATTGATCCACCCTCAAAGTTTGGCTGGTGGAAGTCATCATGATGGACGGTGTCAAGTGTCCTAAACAAGGAGTGGTACTGGGTATCATATCTTCCATCACAAAGGTCAATGCCACCAATGAAGCTGACTATCCTCCTTTGCTGGGAGCCCTGGTTTGGCAGCTCATGGTCAACCACTACTATCTTCTGATGGTGTGTGAACATAGTTGATATCTGCAGATCCTGAACAAAGCTGCCAGAATCATCAGGGTTGCGAGGGCACAGAACACAGTTGACGTCCGTGCCATGGAAGTAATTTGCAGTCTCCTCATCATGGGTAGCCATCAAGCCATCCTTCTTAAGCAGGCCGACTGAAGTCCTATCATCCCACACTAGCATAAGGACCCGGACACCTTCACTGGCCTTCCTCTTGAGCAACTCCCCAAGAGTAACATCACCACCAGGTTTCGGCCTGTTGGTGTCCCTAACCAAGGTGATCTCGGTGTACACGGACCAGCCAGTGATGTAAATCAAATGCTGGGCCTTGCTTATGGCATCAAAGATATCCTCCCAGCACCTGTGTGGCTCATAGTTCTTGCCATCAGCAAGCGGGATCCTGGGAACGAAGTTGTCCGGGACATGAGCGTCCTGGTACAGGGTAACCTTACAACCCTGTCTCTGCGAGAAGAAGGTGTAAGGAACACCAGGGTACTTGGTGCTCCGGACACCCCTCGCCCAATTGCGGTCCTTGAAAACATCAAAGTACTGAAGCTTCACATGGATCTTGCTGTCTCCAATAGGCTTGCGGTTCTCATCACAGATTTCAAGCCACTTGTCGATCTCCTCTCCGTCCAGGAGGTCCGTGACAGGCAAGTACGCCCTCCCGATGAGCGACGCCCCAATGGGGTTGTCGATCTTGACGGTGAAGATGACGTCGGCAGCCATGTGCGCGCAGTAGATGTGGAAGGACTCGTACCAACGAGGATTGATGGGCTCGTTGGAGATCATACGTGTACGCCCGACGCGGGCCTTCTCCAGATCAATGGTGGCATATATCTTGGTGCTGCCCTTGCCGACACCCACGGTATCCTCAATCCCTTCCACAAGCTGTTGAAACGAAACGAACATGTCGTGTTAGCAGAGCAAGAGACGAATCCGGTGAAACGAAAGGCAGGCATACTTTGAGACGAGCCTAACATAGACTGATCGAAGGGAACTATTGAGTGCAGGAAAGTTCTCTGGAGCAAAATTACGTAGAACAGGCAGTTAATGATGAAGCAATCAATAGTAGAGCCTAATCTGGAGGCAGACAGTGCCGCCATTCATGAATTATTCGTTGATTGATCTGTCTCTCTACTAACCACATCACTCATCGCGAGTTGGCGCGACTGTTGCAGGCTAGCATGGGTGGAACGGAAGAAGGGAGAAGGGGAGACTGAGGAAGTACCTTGCGGATGAACTTGGGGGCGCCGCCGCTGGCGCGGTGCGGGTTGGAGAGCGACTCGGCCTCGAAGATGGTGGCGTGGAGCGTGCCGTGGAGCAAGATCTGAGCCATGGCTCCCTCGTCTCCTCCTCCTCGCTGTCAGCCTAGCAGCAGCGTCCTGCGGAAGCGGAACGATCGCACGCCCGCGGAAGAGCGGAAGAGCATGAGCAACAGGGCAGTACGCTAGGGACAAGTAAAGAGGCCGCGCGCAGATGAGATCGAGCCCACGCAACCGCGAAACGAACGAACGGAAAGACGGCAGCGGCGCCAGCCAACCGGCAACCGAGCAACGGCTGCCTGCCCCCACCTTTCCCGGCCGAGGAGAGCAGAGCAGAGCAACGGCCAACAGGGGGAGAGGGGCACCCACGCTCTGGTCCGGTCCTTATCTTCCAGTCGGGCAGCGAGGGCGAGGTCGCCGTGATTGATGATGATGGTGACGGTGATGGCGAGAGACGACACGCGGGCGCCGCGGGGTAGAAAAGGAAGCGAAGGCGTGAGATGGGAAGCCGATCCGATCGGATCAGGCGGGCGAGATTATTATTATAAAATGGCGCCGGATCTTGGCTGGATCGACGGAGTGGTGCTGGTGCCGCACCGTCACGCACGCGGCAGCTGGGAGGAAGATCCGAGCTGGGGATGGATGGATGGAATGGGACCCGGGTGGGGCATTTGTAATTTGTTTTCTTTGCCCTTCTAGTGCCCAAGCCGTGTGTGTGCTGAAGAATCGTGCACGTAGCGGGGGACGGGCGACGAATCCAACCGGGCTCCCTCCACGCACGCGTCGTCTCCGCTGTTCCACATATCTCGTCTTGAGGAAACAAAATAAAAAATAAAACGGGAGAAGTGCCTTGGAAGTGATGTGGACATGTGGTGGGTACAGGGTACTCAAGTCGCCCAGTCAACCGTCGTCGTGGCTGCCTGCCCAGTGGGCACTGGGCAGTGACCACCACCGTCCATTTAACCCGCGGCAAATCGCCATCATCATTCATAACAAAAAAATCTCGGCATGTCGCCGGCCTCCGGAATCCGGATGCGACGTGCTGACTTCCTACAAGCGCAACCTGTGGCTAATTATAATTATTATCAGTTCGCCTCCTGGCATTTCGTAAAAAAGACAAGCCAAAGCTTTCGTATTTCTAACAATTCCTCTCTTTATATATGGCCTTGTTTAGATTCTAAGTTTTTTCACTCTTTTCATCACATCAAATCTTTAGACACATGCATAAAGTATTAAATGTAGATAAAAAAATAACTAATTACACAGTTTGATTGTAATTTACGAGACGAATCTTTTGAGCCTAGTTAGGCCATGATTGAACAATAATTGTCAAATATAAACGAAAATGCTACAGTGTCAAATACTAATTTCCAACCATCGTCTAAACAAGCCCTATATATATTTGTTTCGTTGGTAGTCTGAGTCGGGTTCCGACTTCCGACAGGCACCGACGGTCAGAGACTCAGAGTGCCCGATGTCGCAGTCGCACGCAGCCCCCCGTTCGCGACACCGACGACGCTACCCTGGGCTTTGACCTCCTCGATTCCAGAACCAGAACCAGAATCGGTGAATCCGCTTCGGTCCCGGCCTCGAGAAGGCGAAGACGGTGGCTCTGGGGCTCTGGGCAGTGGGTTCTGACGAGAGTTGATTTTGCACTCTGCCGACATCCCTGACGTAGTCGCACACATGGATCGCGCTTCTCGGCCCGAGCGCCCGCCACATGTGTGCCGTGGGAGCTTGCCGCGCGAGCGGGCGAGCTCCTCGGCTCAGCAGTCGGCATTCCGCGCCACACTAGAGCTCCGCTCCGATCATGCACCCAGGTCCTAGGGTGATGGTGAGGCCAGACGACGTCCCTGGCCGCCCAGGCCACCTCGTCCGCCGTCACTTTCGCCACGGTTCACGCTACAACGTGGCTAGCATGTGTCCACGTCGAGTCGTTGATGGATCACACACACAGAGCGCGTGTTTAGTTCTAAAAGAAGTTCTAAAAAAGTACTACAGTACCTATCACATCGAATTTTATGATACATGTCTGGAGCATTAAATGTAGATGAAAAAAAACTAATTACACAGTTTGATGGGAAATTACGAGACGAACGTTTTGAGCCTAATTAGTCCATGATTGAACATTATTTGTCAAATAAAAACGAAAGTGCTACGGTACCCAAATTCCAACTTTCCCTCGACTAAACACAGCCAGAGAGGACATGCCGTGCTATGTCCCGGCGCTGGACACATGTCTCGCTGACTTGGGCCTGGTGCTGCGCGAGTTCAATGCTTGATTGTAGTCCAACAACGGCCTAGTTATCTACTCCTACTCCTATGACCGTAATGAACGAGCATCAGCGAAATGTTTCATCGAATGATTGCTGTGTTCCGGGAGACGGGGGACCTGTTTCGTGTTATCCTTAAAATGGGGTTCAGTCGGCGTCGGCCCTACTGTTGTTGATCTCTGTGGATAAAAGTTGAGCTGGTCCAGAGACGGGTGCCGGAGCCAAGGAGACGGACAAATTGAGGATAGGCGTTACTTTTGTATCCGCAAACAACAATCTCACGTAGGAGTAACATATTGGCCATGCCCATGCTCGTAAATATTGCCGTGCCTGTGTTTAGGAAACAATATTTGTCAGACCTTGGATGAAGCTCAGAGTGGCCCTACGACTGTTGATCTTTGTGGATGTCAGTCGAGCTGGTTTGCGCCTTATCGGCAACCTTTCTTATAATTTTATTGGACAAACTTAGCATGCCACTGGATAGGTGAGTTGGGCAAAGGATTGAACGGTACCGTTCTCAAAAGAAAAAGAAAAAAAAAACACCAAAGGATTGGGCAGTTTCAAAGCCAAACTTCAGAGTTCGGGGGTGATCACGTTTTCAATCCAAATTCAACATAATCTAAATCTAACGACATGAGACCACATTTTGAAGAACACGTGTTTAGCTAGGGTAAGGCCAGTCTCAAAGTGGCAGTGGATCTGAGGGGGGCTATTAGTAGGTTTTTTTGTTAGCTAAGTTTTTAACTAATTGTTAGTCAAATAGCTAGCGAGCCACAACTAATTTTGGTCAATTTTCAGCTCTAACTAATAACTAGTTATGTGTATTTCTCTTAAAAAAACTAGTCATGTTATCAAACATATTTTTGTTTGAGCCTTTTTGTGCGAGCACCATGTTCTCGCTTCCTCGATTTCTGCAGCCAAAGGTTTCAGGCAAATTCTGAGTTGTGCTCCTTTCAAAGTTTCCAAACAACCAGAATAATTAATCTCTCTATTTTTAGAAGATCCAGAATAATTAATCGAACGACCCTTGCAAGCATGCCCTCATCCTTTCCTACGGCACTCCGCCACCGGTTGGACAGACAGCTGAAAATTTGCCCAGCATATCCTTTGGGCCGGGAAAGCGGCCTTTGGGTCCAAAACGCCAACAAATGGATGGCAGCCTCATCCATGTTATGGCAATTGGCAACGAGGACATATAAAGTTGATTCGTCCACCTTCTTGTAGGCAATAATCAGTCCATATTCATAGGCGATTTTGGACAGACAGGCAAGCAACAAAATTGCATTTGGCTAGGACCAAGACATCCACATGCATGTGTGTCTAAGACCCCGTTTGCATGTAAAGTATTTTTAAATTACTCCATTCATTCTAAATTATAAGTTATTTTAACTTTTCTAGATGCATAGCTTATGTATATAAATATACACCATATCTAGATACATAACAAAAACTATATACCTTAAAAAGTTAGAACAAATTACATTTGAATTGGAGGGAGTATTAGATAAATACTATGGTTTTGTAAAATATTTTGGTTTCCAAAAGCTAATGGTTGCTTGGACACAAACATATCTTATATATCTTATAGTTTCTACAACATGGTTTCTACACTTATGACCTATTTTTTCTAAACCATGGTTTTGTATCTCTTTGACTTATAAAACCATAGTTTAGTGATACCGCAATGGCGGCACTGTAGGCCCTGTAGGCCCTTGCACTTATGATCCCCACTTGCTTGCCAGCATGGCGGTACTGTAGGCCCTTGTGTTCGCCCCCGGGCGCAATGGCGTGGTTGACTTTCGAGCTCGCCCAGTGGCTTCTTGGCGTGGCAGTAGCCCCGACATAATGGCAGGCCCAACGTGACAGGCGGCTCATAGCCCGATGTCGCGCGCCCTCATTCCACATTGCAGCTTTGACCACATCTCCGGCAACGGGTGCTAGCAGCGCCATATTCGTGCGGATCGGAGGTGGCGCAAAAATAACTGACGTGGAAAAGGGAAAATGGGATGGGTGTAAAGGGATTAAGAGTTGATGGAAAATGGAAAGTGGGATGGGTGTAAAGGGATTAAGAGTTGATTTTCCTCAATTGAGGAAAATAAACTAGGGAAAGGGAACATTTTGTCAATTTACTTGAGAGTTTTTTTTACTCCTTTATATTTTTCTATATGACAGGCTTTAGTGAAAGAGGATTCTTTTGCCAACCTGATGGAGATGCTTTAAGATCTCTACATGTCCGATCTAGAGACGATGCTTGCTTCACCTTCATTTCTGTTCTGTGGCAACAATTATGGTTGTCATCTAATAATTAGCTAGCTTATACTCCTCTGCTTGCCATATTAGTCATGTGTTGCTTGATTCCAGGAGCTAAAAGGTGGGCGTGTATATTGATAGTTTTTCTATAATGCCTTTCACCTTTTAGAAACCATTGGTAGAGTATATGGATAGAGATATGTGGTAGGGGCAAACATGTTTTTTCTTTAGAATCTATTAGCTGGATTGGACACCTAGCAAGGCAGTTGTTAGTTGAGTGCCCAACTCATAACTAGCTAGTCTATTAGCTTCGATCCATTGGCTGGGAGTAGCTGTGTGGGTCTAAACAGGCCTGGGTTGTTCATCGAATTTAAATAAAAGCTTTCTTTCCATAACAATAGGTGAAACATAATTCCGCTCCTAATCCTTCGTCCGTTATGTGTACGCAACTTTTCATGTTCACATTTTCCCCCAACTGTCGATTGATCTTCCAAAGGTTGATTATCTTGACTCTGCTCAGTAGAAGGCGTTGGCAGTCGGCACTGGACATG